ATGCGGAACTTTGGATTAATCCTCTTAAGTAAATGGTACAGGCGAAGACAACTAAATCATTATGAAAGCAATAACCTTGATGTCAGGATAATGTGAAATCCCCAAATATTCCCGTCAACTCTTTCTTGCCTCTAGATAATTCAAAGAGCATGCTTTGATAATTTTAGTTATTTAATCATACTATGTAGTAAACACGCCTTCACCAGTGTAATACATAGGTAGCAAATAAACTATACACTTGTCACAACACAATATAAGTTTACGAAGGAAGCGAAAAGACGAAATATGCCAATCCGTGGGCCAAATAGAGAAAAAGCAGAATAAGAGAAAGTGTAAAATGGCCATGTGACCGGAAAAGGATTCAAATACTTGCAGCGAAAATCGCGCTCCAATCGAAATAGAAAGTACGCGCGCAGCAGGCACGCATCTAAACGAAACAAGTCTTGAGGTAGTTGACAATTTGATGAACGCCTTCGATCGGTTGTGCTTCTGTCTTGAGTGGTCCTTGTCCTTGCATCTCTTTCAAGTAGGCGAGCTTTTTTCTTTGTGGCTTTGGTTAGACCCCTGGCTTTGCTTCTGATGTCTCCTTGAAATCTGAAATGGCTTTCGAGTGATCTGGATTGGTTTGATTGATGCCTACGCAAGAATCGTTCCACCTTTGCTTTTTTTCTTCACATGATATAGACTGACGTAGTTTTTTAAGTGCTTGTTCTTCGATCCCTTCATCATAGTGCGTCTGTAAGGGAGGGCTTGATTTGTTTGTGTTTTTGACTTACCTTTGGTGACGAAGTTTTCGAAAGTTGTAGCTTCATAGTGTTTTTGTCCTCGTTTCTTATTTTTTTATCTGTTTTGAATTGTTATGTTTTTTATGATGGCATTTGCTTTTGTGATAATGTATGAATTCAAGGAGGAAATGGGTGATATGGAAGATTCGATCAAAATTGACGATGATGACCTCCTAAGTACTACAGGCAACAGTGTAGCGGATATGGCTGTGAGTTACCGTTATGAAGTGAAGTTCTTGTACTCTTAAACTCTGTAAAATGTTTTTAAATTCAGGAATTATCTTCCATTGAACAGCAAATGGAGGAGTTTGAAGAAGAGCAAAGGAAAATAAAGCAAATGCAAAGCGATAT